TACAAAATTTTCGAAGAATTTTGCGTTGCACAATTTCGATCGCTTGGGGATATCGGTCGATCGATTTGAATTCTTAATTAAATTAACGTTTATTGGTACACCCATACACGTACGATGTTATTCAATATGGAAAATTGTAATTTCTCGGTAAAAATATGAATACTTATTTATTATTATTACACGTTCAAAATTGTTTCCATTTTTAAAAGTTTGATTTACATATATATTACATAATATATTTAATGTGATAAAAAAATAATTATAAAAAAATAGTTTTATATAAATTGATTGAAAATTTAGATTTGATCAAATCCAAGCTATACTTTCATATAATAAATAATAATTTAGGTTAGAATCGGTGTTTGAAAGGAACCTAACCTGTACTTGATTCATTTTTTTATATTTGACCAGACATATTTGATTAAAAGTAATAATCATTTTTTATTTAATTACAAAAATTCATGGATGATTTGACAATGACAATGTATATTCGGTGTTAGTTGAAGAATAAATGAATAAAAATAAAATTTGTAGTTGTATTCATTAAAAATAAGATAGATCGTTATAATACTAAATATAAAAGAATGAAATTGGAAAATATCTCTTGTCACGTTGTTATAATACGTATAACGATAAATTGGATGTACGTAAAACGAGGTCACGAGATTGTCTAGGGAATTTACACTTTTACCTAGAACGAATGAAAAAAAAAAAAGATGGTCGATTTAAACGTTCGTCTAGAAAACAAGCTCGAGAAAAACGTTTCACGTAGATGAACCTAATTCCACAATAAATCTATCATAATTAAGAAAAGAGTCCAGTTTGTCAGATGGAAAAACGAAAGAGGATGAGATGGAAGATGAAAAGGAAAACAAGTCAGAGGGTTGAATTCGAGTTGAGGTTAGGTATCAAAAGCTTTCGAACAAAACGAGATCATTAAAGGTTAAAGACGAGTAAGTACAAAAAGAAAAAGAAAAAGTACAAGAAGATGAAGAGAGTTTCGTGAAGAATGAGAAAGAAGAGAAAGATGAGAGGATCAGTTGTCGAAAATAAAGATATATATATATATATACATGTGCCCTTTATGGGATTGTACATCGAACGAGATCAAATCTCCGGCTGTTTTTCTTCAAAGCTAAAAGTAGAAATAGTTTGTACCGGAAAAAGAAATCGAATTTGATTTCAACGCAATCTCCTTTAACTTCTTCTTTGCTAAACGAACTTGACGTTATCAATCCACTTAAGTAAAACCATTCGATGTTCTGGTTAATAAGAATGAATTCGACGTTTATTTAAATTGCCGTGAATTTAATTGACCCTCGTAAAGAACATCCGAACAAATCAGGGTAAGGTAAAACTTCGTAATTTTCTTTTACACTGAGATAGAAAGATAGAAAGAAAGAAAGAAAAGCCAAATAAAAAAAAATGAAAAAGGGAAAGAGATACTTTTCGAATGTTTCAAGTAACTCGTGTTTTTTCATTGGAGAAAAAAATTCAGAAATCGATATTCTTTCTTTTGAAAAATAAAAATATCTTGAAAACAAAATTAAAGTTAAAGATATAATATAGGAAGGTATATATATTTTGATCGATTAAAAGTTAAGATGAAAAATTAAGAATAGTAAGTAGTGAAGTATTTAAAGATTTGTTTGAGTAAACGAACCACGAAACAAATTATAGACAAATTTTTGTTGGATTAATTAAATCTTGCTCAATTATTTTCTATCGTGTCCAATATTTATTAAAATATTAAATATTAATTAATAAATTTATTTTTTAAGCATTAAATAATAATATTTATTTAGGTATTAAATAATAATAATTAAAATTTTATTAAATAATTAATAAATTTATTTATTACGTAATTAATAATAATATTTATTTAAATATTAAAATACACTACGTTAAAAACCATCACAAAAATTCGTATAACGATTCAACATTTTTTTTTTTTTTTTAAATTGTTTTCTTCATTTCAAATCATTTTCAAGTAATTCTTAAAAAAATCTTTCGGTTAAATAAAGGTTTGTAAACGTAGGTATAAAGTTAGCATGTTTATGCCTATGTTATATGTTTAGATAGGTACTATGGTATTTTATGAGAGAGATAAAGAAGAAGAAATAGAGAAAGAAAGGGTAAAGGGGAAGGTCTATATGAGATAGAGGTAAATTTTACGCATAAAGGGACGCATATATATGTATATACATGGTAGACGAATATATTCGTGTATTACGATCTTCAAGCAGCCACCATAACGCTCGTAATGGTGCGATACATAAGCCAAGAGAACTGTTCGGTCCCATGTAAATTATGCTCGATCAATGTCATATCATTTGCAAAAGAAATTCTTTAAGAAAAAACAAAAAATATCATATGAATATCATTTATATTCTTTGTTTCTTTTCTAGTTTTAAATTTGTATATTAAAAAAAAAAAAAAAAGAATATTATATGAATATCATTTATATATTCTATTTCTTTTGTGTCTTTTTTAGTTTTAAATTTGTATACGTAAATAAAAGAACAAAACTACTCAAAAATAAATTCAATAACTAAATTAAAATTGTAATCATCATTTTACAAAATATATATATGTAGCTGTGCATAATTAAACGTGATTTCAGGAAAGTTAGGAAAAATAAATTCTCATTTTCCCATGGTGTTGGTAAAACGATAGAAAAGTATGTTTTAATTAACTTTTATGAAAAAATTTAAATACAATAAATGTTGTATAATTCATTCCAATATTTTTTCATTTCCCCGAAAGTATTAGTAAAACACTAATAATAGTAGTAATAAGTTGGTAGTATTAGTCGTATATATACGTGAACATGTACACGTGGTTTGTGTGTTTTAATGCATTAGACTGCACTTTCAAACGGGATTACTAATTTACTTTATAAATTAGCATGTCACTGTTACTCGAGCAAACTCACCCAGGTAAACAAAGTTTCGCGTTTGCTTTACTCTTCTCTAATGCTCTTCGTACAGCTTATCTCTTGCCGAAAAAATCCTATTCTTCCCTTCTATACTATATATGTATATAACGAAACACACATCCCTTTTCTAAACTAATGCAACCCTAATGTTACTCATCTTCCCTTATTTCTCTTCACTCGTGAAATTTCACTCTTTCTCAGCACAACGAGAATGAGAAAATGTTTCCACACAACTTATGACAAGTGAAGAGAGACCACAACAAGAAAAAGGGACAGAAAGGGAAAAGGGAAACCTTGGAGAGAAAGATAAAAGGATCGTAGGCGTTGTCGTGCATAATGAAATGAAATTATATCATGGTTCCTTCCCTCCCACACATTTTTCTACGAAAGATTAATTTCCAAGTATTATAATATAACTTCATCTTTTTTACCCCATTAACTGAGGAAACGTTCAATGACTTTTATCTACCATTTGATACTTTTATCTATTTTATTTGATCTTACGAATGAACGAAACGAACTAACTTACGTAAAATAACAAGAATAACGTTTCCATGAAACTTTTCATATCGTACGTAATAAAAATAATATTCGACGAATTTTTTATAATACTGCGAAAAGATTTCAATATATCAATCTAAAGATAATTAAGAATTCTCTCAATGAATTTTATTTTCAAATGAAATCGACATAATTTCAAGAAATGACGTTTAAACCATTTTTTTTTTTTTTTTTTTTAATCATTATCTATCAAAGTACCACCCTATACTTATTCAACCTACGCGTTCTTTTTCCTTCCTTCGCATACATACATATTTCGTCGTGATAGTGATTGAAGAAAAATATTCCTCTCGATTTTCGTTTCACGTTTTCTTCCACCAATATGGGAAAAAAGCAAGCTAGCACCGATAACCCAAGGAAACACAATTTCCTATAAGAAAAACTTTACTATTCCCATACTCTATATTATTTTGCTTCGAAGACAAAAGCAGTGATCGAACGGAATCGGACGGAGAAAAATACTCTTACTTTACTCCTATATATATATGTGTGTGTATATATATATATACACATACTCACGTACAGGTACGTTTGAAAACGTTGCCGTTTCGCAAGAGGAACTATGAGAACCATTTTCTCAAGAAATGGAAAGAAATAAGAGAAAGTATTAGTACGTTAACTAAAAAAAGAGCTGGGGGGGTGGTTAAGGGGGTGGTCATTTTGATTCAAGATGCACGAATTGAAACAAATGTAATCAAAACATCCCCTGTTCATTAATTTTATCCTTTGAATCATGTGAAACGAAACGAACGTTGAATGGTCAACCGTGGTACGGAGAGAAAAAGATTAAGGTTTAGAGATAGAAAGATAGAAAGATAAAAAGAAATAGATAGATATAGATTAGTAAAGATAGAGAGAGAGAGAGAGAGAGAGAGAGGGAGATAGATAGATTGAGAGATAGAAAGATAGATAGAAAGAGAGAGAGAGAGAGAAAGAGAAAGAAAGAAATACGAAAAATACGAACGAAATGAATGAAAACAAACGAGTATTATACGAGAGAGAGATGGATATGTTACCGAAAATGTCGGATATGTAAATAAGTAAATACATACACCGGTATATATATAATATACAACGTGTATATCAAACTCCATATATGCATAACGACGAGAGACGCATATAACATAGTAAATAGTATAGTAGAGAATAGTACTAGTAGTAATAGTAATAGTAATAGTTATAGCAGTAGTAGTAGTAATAGCAGTAGTAAGAATAATAATCATAATATTAATAAAAATAAAAAAAAATAATGATAATAATAATAATAATAATAATAATAATAATAATAATAATAATAATAATAGTAGTAGTTTAGGTTAGAGACAGAACTCTCGAGATTGAAAAAACAAAAAACCAAAAATAGGATATACGAATAAACTAAAAGGATAAATAATAAATAAATAAATATATATAGTTATAATAATAATAACATACACACAGGTGTATTTTATCTAGCTGATAAATAAGTGCGGCAGGCAAGGCATGCTAAGAGTTACGTTACCTAAGGTGAGCTTCTCTCCGGAATCGGGCGGCAATGTGAAACCCAATAGGGCCATACTCGATATCAGGACGCAGGGCACGATCAGGTTGAAAAAATAGTATAACGTTCTCCTGCGTATCTGTATCGTGAACGTCACGTCGACGTACGGCTCCGGACAACACTTATACACTATCCTATTCCTTCGTCCAGGCATACCTGTAAATAGTAAATTGAATTTAATTTCGATAATTCGTGATTTGTTAACACGACAAGTATTCCTTTTCTTCGATCGATATTTCTATGAGAAAAAATAAATAAGTGTTATTTTTTGCTTCTAATAAAATATATTTTTGTTTGTATTTTAAAATAGTGTGATCATCAAAGTTCCCCTTCCATTAATTTTTATATATTTTAATTATACATATATAATATATATAGGTTATATATATTATTATACTACTCGTATTACCCTGCTAGTCTCGCAAGGGGAATAATTATTATGCAATTGGAATTGCTGAGTGGCACGGGAGACCGAGATCGCAGACCGTTGAGACTCATGAAATTAAACGTAAACTCGATCTAAAACATAACCTCAACGCTGTTAAGTAAATACCACCAAAAGTCATTTCTCCTTTAGCTGTTGCAACTACTACTACTACTAACTTATCGTGTCATATATATATGTATACATATATGTATATAAATATGTTTTTATTTTTTTTTTTTCATTATTTGCTCTCTTTCTTTTATTGAGATTGAATGACAGGAAGGTATTCGCGAAAGATTAAAAAAATAAAATGTACATAGAAATAATGGTAGCAGTCACATTCGTAGGATTTCAAAATGTACGTAGATACGTTTTGAATAGTACGTTAGTTCGATTTATTCGATACGAAAGATCATCTTCTTTCCCTCTCACGTCGATAGGTAAAGGCCCTTGTCTCTATTTCCCTTGGTTATAGGTATCCATTCGCATTGAGGAATATTACACCATCGGGGAATTTCGATCGAAACGAGGACATTTTATCTAAACGAATGTTCTATTTCAGAGTATCCTACAACTTTTTCGATGTCGTTTTTCATCTTTTCCTTTCTTGTTTTTTCTTTATTTTTTTACTTTTTTATTTTTTTCCTCATCCTCTTTTACCACGTTCAATCTCGGTTGTAAATGTAGGAAAAAAAAAAGGTTATTGACTTGAATCAAGGGAATAAGAAAATACATTTATTTGCTATTTATTATTTTTTTTTAAATTAATTTTTTAATAAAATAAGAATAAAAATATATTGTTAATATGTTAAATGAATGATTCAAATTTAATTTAGTATAGTTGCAAAATAGAAATTTTGTTACAAATATTCATCATTTTTTAACTGACATTAAAATTTCCTTTCAAATATTAAACAAAATATAATTAAATAAAAAACAATAAGATTATAAATAAAGATATCAACAATACGAATATTTTGTTAAATCTATATGGGTATCTATTGTACGTTGAAAAAAAATCACATTTTGAAAGGGTTGGCTATCGTCTTGGTTGAACACCATCAAGAAGGCTCATAAATTCTTTTGGTTTTCTATTCAATGGATATCAACGATCTCGAAGTGACTTAAGGGTTGATAAGGAAAAAAACTCTGGCAAAAATCTAAGGGGGAAAAATACGACGACGAAGAAGGCCATTGTGTCGCAACCTTCGATTTACTATACACGTATGGTAGATATGGATTCGATTCAAAACTTCCCTAATCTTTTTACCAATTCACGATTGACATTTTTGAATTTTGAAGGAACACGATGAACTAAAAGTAAAAAATACAAAAAATCAAAAACAGAATTAGTACAGAAATAAATAAATAAATCAATCAAAAATGATAGAAAGAAACTTTAATCGATTCCCCTACACCCTCCCACCTCCCATGGATCGAAACTGGATCGATTGTTATAGATGGCAATGGGCGAGAATTTTAACTTCGATTTTAATTAAACGTCAAGGACGTTGATGTAAGCCGACTCGACTCTTCGGTCAAGGATGTCCAACCGTTGACAGAGTTCGAAGAGTGGACTAGGGATATATTCTGCTGGTGACAGATCGAAAAGCCGTCTGTCAATGTGTATTAGAATATACACATACATAGATATACATATACGTGTTCCATGTATGAAAAAAAAAAACTATGATCAAAAGTTAAATCTTTTTAAATTAATCACTCGTTCAAATGTTAACTCCAAACTAACTTTTTCTATATGCATATGCGTATGTATGTATGTATGTATGTATGTGCGACTTATCTATACTTAATTATTTATTATATACCAGTGACACAAGAAGATACGCTATTGTTATTAGCAAAGTGAAACGATATAAATATTACACAGAGGATAAAGTAGGTATATGCTTTGTAACCATTAAGCTTATGGAAATTTGACCCTTTTAAGATATATATATATATATATAATATATATATATATATATATTCGGGATATGAACAGGACGTCCTTCGGGCTAAAATCATCGAGCAATCTTCCCGTTCACGCTCGAGGTAATACCGGACAAACAGATTTGCAAATTACCATGGATTAACCGTGTGCATTAACGTGGTAGATGCGTACGTACGAATGCTAGATAGATAATGGGGCAAGGGAAGAACGCGAGAGAGGGGTAGTAGGGGGGAGGACATATATAGAGAGTGTGGAGAGTATGGAAGGAGGGTAAATGAAGGGAAGAGAGACAAGGGGCTTTGATCTCGACGTACAAAGGGAAAGGAGGGCTGCTTCCGCGGTATATGCTTCCGTCAGAAAGCCACCGAGCCCCCACCCCCAACCCACCCTTTCCAACGACCACTCTCACAATCGATTCTTGCGCCAATATCGACGCTACGTTGACCTCAACGTTAATAAGCTCACCTCATCCTGCCATTCCTCTCTTTCTCTCTCTCATCTCGATGTCACTCGAGTTTAACGAATTAATACGAGCAAGAGTGAGAGAAAGAGAGATAAAGAATATGAAAGAGAACATTTATTAGCCCCTTTTAAATCATTGTCAATATTGTAAAAATAATAAATAATATAATAACAAATTTGTATTATTATTATAATAATTATTATTATTATTAATTATGACGTATTTTCAAATGGGACAAATTTTGATTTTTATGCTTTTTATTTTTATGCTATTACCCCTTTTTAATTATCATCAATATTGTAGAAATAATAAATAATATAATAACAAATTTTATTTTTATTATTATTATTATTATTATTATTAAATATGAAATATTTTTAAATAGACACAAATTTTGATTTTTATGCTATTCCTGTCGTTATTATTATAATTATTATAATTAATATTAAATTATATAAATGTATTTGTGTAGATCAGAGTTTCCTTTGGATTTGTCTTCGATACTCGGTTTTTTTTTTTTTGTAAATACGCAGGTTTATAATACACGCTGTAATAGAGGAAAATGTCTGCAATTCGGTGATTTCAACTCACGGCAAACTTTGAACTCCAGTGAAACTCACCGATGAGGTACCATTCCCCGTTCATGATGAAATCGGACAAGTCACCTCCCTTCTCTGACTCGAGGACCAGATCGAGCTATCAAGGTCAAAGTTTGATTAAAACGAGCGTGTACCAATGATATTATTTTAACGTACCGTTTAGTTTATATTAGGAAATTTCTATCATTACACATAATATATCATACGTGCCCTCGCATGCGATAAATGATGCATAATATATTCACATATTTACAAATAAAAAATTCTAATTACTATCTAAAAGACATGCGTATAAAAAAGATAAAAAAATATGAACGAGATACTTCCGTTCTTTTTATTATTTTTTTTTTTTTTATCTTTCTTTGGAAGAAAGAAAAGAAATGAAATTAAATCAGTAAAAGTTTCAGGAGCAATCGTCGATGACCAAAAGGTAAAATCGTTTTTTTTTTACTGGCTTTTTGCAGCAGTTGGTAAGTCGAATCTTGAGTTAAAGAATTGAAAGCTGGTAAAAAACCCAAAAAAAGGGGAAAAGTACCCTATCGGCCAGTAGGATGCCGTTTTACGACGGTTTCCTCGAATCTATTGATTTTTTAATTCGATTGCAACTTAAATTCGTTTCTTTCCAAAACAAAAAATAAGAGCGAGAAGAGAGTGTTTTCTCGTTTGGTCGTAAAAAGTGAAATAAAAGTGGGCTTCTGTGTTATACTCTCTGCCCCTTAAACATTTTTTACTCGATTTAAAACATGCTAAACTAGAAAGAAAAGTTTCGTGCAGCTTGCATTTATGTAATATGCGTGTAAAGAAGTATGTTTGTAAGAAAATGTATGTGTAGTACGTGTAAGTGTGTATAATTAAACGTGTACAAGGTTTTTTTTTGTTCTTCTTTTGAAAAGGAGCAATTGAACGGGTGAAAAGTTATGGGCTCGTCGGTGAAATTCAAACGTGTGACACACACGGTTCTTTCATATATTTTTATTTATTTTTTTTTTTTTTTCAAATTACTTAAAATAAGTTCAACGTTTTTTCATTTTCTTTACGTGAAACAAAATATTCTGAGTTACTGAGAATAACATCGTGAATATATTTTTCTTTTTCTTTGACATTGACCAAAGCAACTTTCTTTGAACATTCGAAGGGTACCATTCTAATGGAATTTTTTCATGTGACATACAGGTGTGCAACGAGATTGTAAATTTAAACGGCATCAAAGCTTAAAAGGTGATATACGAGTGACTGAATCGAGTCGGAGAATAGAAAAAAAACTCTGTTCTCTTTCTCTGTATTTTTTTGGATTACTTTTTTTTTTTTGCAGTTGCAGTAGTAGTATCGTTGAAAAGATCGTTCCGTTTGAATTCTAGTATAGTATAGTATCTGTTGCTCTTTGATCAGTAGCCAAATGGAATGTGTTTGTACGTACGTAGATTCTAACGAGTCTAACTTTTAACCCCCTAACCCCCCTCAACTACGTTTCGTTTTTTTTTGTTCACCTTCCCTAACTAACTTAGTTATTAGCATATTATCAAAAGTGTCTTTAACAATTGCTACCAGCGAATTATTTGATATGTTTTGACGTTAAATAATTCTAGTTGAACTAAATCGCATCCGTTTTGACTCATGAAACATTCATTTGATTAACATCAAACTCTCATTTCAAGTCTGCTGGCAATTTTATTGAAGTTAACGATAGACTAAATAGAATGTGGCTTTGATTAAAACATAAGGGGATGGGTGAAGTGTGTATATACGTTGACTCGTTATTTAACAACTTCATGGGGTTTAATGCATAGTTTAAACTAACAAACTACACTTCCTTTGCTTTCGGTTTTATCGATTCAATGACATTAATGAGATTGATTGAAAACAATTGATTTAATACCATAAGTAATATTTGATTTATTAAAAATCATTTTTTTTTTTCTATTTGATTTAAACTTGAAACGTTGATACGCACGTGTGTTTTCGTACGTAATAAACATGAATGATTAATTTACATTTTATTATATAAGTTACATTTGAATTAAATACTATTACGTAAAATATTTATCGTATTTGACATTGTAAATTAAACGTTACGATTTAATATTCATACGATTGTACTACTTTATTACAACTAACTAAATACATTTGTTCCTAGTTCAAACAGGACATAAATTTGTATGAAATTTCACTAAACTATGATGGAAAATGTACCTTTCAATTGTATACGATCGACTCGTACTTTTCTATGATCGGATCTATCGAGATATAACAATAAATCTCGTTGAATAAATATATATATACGCATACACAAACAAACAAACATATATACGAAGCGTGTGTGTAATTTATTATATTTGAAAAACGAAGAATTACGTTTGAATACCATTCGACAAGCCATTTTCGTCATCATTTTAGTTCGAACAAAGTTTTGTTTATCACAGAACCATTGCTCATTGCTTAACAAAAAAATCTTTGAATATTTATATCATCATTTTTTTTTTTAATATAGAAGATGGGGGTAGATAGATATATGTGATGGGTGTTTATCTGTTCAAACAAGTATCCAAGATTTGTTTTTTATTTTTTTTTTAAATGCAACGACACGAGACGAGTCTCGCCATCAATAAATAAATGAGGGTGGGTGATATAGTTAGAGGGTGGTGTAATGATTTATTTAATTAATTCTTTTAATAATAATATTTTTTCTATTTTTTTAAATTCATTTCTTCTCGTTATCAATGAAATAAATTCTCGAAGTATGGTAGGACGGTACTATCCCTTTTGCAAAAGGAAATCTTTCAAAGGAATTCGTGAGTAGTTTGGCGAGTATCTCGGATCGTACTTGAGAGTTGGAACGGTAAACGATAATGTACAGTGCAAGAGAGATAGAAGGAAGAGATAGGTTAGTATCTTATGTATATATATAAGTAAGTACATATATATGTATGTAATGTGCGTGTTTATATCTGTACGTGTGTATATATGTATATACGTAAGGGAACATTGAAAATAGGGACTAGGGAGGTTCGTGCGAATAGCAAATATGCACAGCTGCTCTCACGTATACACAGAAACATACACGCAACAGAGAAATATGCACCCACCCAAACACACACACACACATATATATATATGTATATTCGTTCATGAACATATACCGTGATAGGAGAATATACAGTACCTACATGTACATATTATGTACATATGTACAAAGGAACGACTAATAGGTGTGTCCCTTTAACTCGTAATGCAAAGGGTGACGATAGAGACCGACAAAGAGGAAGAAAATGAGATTGAAAGAGGAAACGAACGAGGTGAAAACAGAAAGAGAACAAAATACGTATTAGTTATAGTTATTCTTACGTGCTACTTATAAACAGTAGCTATATATATATATATATATATATAATATATTACATATACATATATATTGTTATATTGTTTAATTACATGCATTATCTACGTTTTCAGTAGTAGGACAAGTACAGATATTTTAGGGAATACGACCATTTAAATACGTACACCGATGTACACCGACTAACAATAATAATTAATCAATTATACGAGGGACATGCGACACACACACGCACACACATACGCACGCGTGTATCACGATATTGTTTTACACATTTAATTACACATATATGAAATGTAACGACCTATGTAACTAGTTTCCTTTTTTTTTTTTCAAATATATTTTCTATTTCGAATGATTACATTTTCACTTTTTTATTTTCTGTTCTATTTTTTTTTTTTTTCATAACTTTTTAATTTTATTTTATGCTCTTTTTTTTATCTTTCCATGATTGCGTAGTTTCTCCTAATATTTTTTGTTTGTTTGTTTTTCTCTATTTTTTATATATACAAATTTTTGTTCAATCAAATAACAGGAGAGGAACATAATTGACATTCAGAATACATAGACACACACATATATATATATATATATAATATAATAACAGGTGGTATTTAGAGAAACATAGTAGAGCAAATTCATTATAATTATAATATATATATATACATGGAATTGAAGGGTAGAGATTGAGACGGGAAAGAGAGACAGTAGATATAGATATAGATATAGATATAGATATAGATAGTTAATTAGTTAGTTTAATTAGATAGATAATTTAGAAAGATTTAGATAGATAGAACAGTGACAGAGAGACGTGGTTAGGGGTTAGTTATAATTATGCAATAGGCGTTTGTTTATTAAAAAAAAAAAAAAGAAAAATGTATAAAGTAAAAAATAACAAAATCAGAGTAAAGACAATGCGTTCGGACTGCGTTTTTGTCAAATTTCCAAACGAAATAGAGACGGGGAAAAATGAGAAAGAGAGAGAGAGAGAGAGAGAAAGAGAGCACAGTGAGAATCGGGGCAAAAAAAAGGGGACAGGGGTTGGGGGGAGGGTGTTGCACAAATCCCGTTTAGACGAAAGATAGACGAAATACGCGAGTGTGAGAGACAGAAAAAAAATATTGAATGAGAGTGAGAGATTACAAAAAAAAGAGAGAGAGAGAGAGAGAGAAAATATAAAAAAGAGAAAAATAAATTCGTTTGACCGCCTCTTGATACGAATTTACGAGGTAAAAGGGACTCGAAAGTGCAGTTAGAGTGAGAGAGAAAGAGAGAGAGATAGGCAATCGTTGACAACGAACGAACACGTTGCTCTGGGATCATCGAATCACTGGGAGGAAGGATCGTTTCGCTCGTAAATCTCTACTCGTGGCTGCTCTGAACTGAGAGTAAAAAAAAAGGGCTAGGGTATGGAGTGGGAGGAAGGGTGGTAGGGTTGCACAAGAGGATGACACGGTTGAGTTTCGTACTACGACGATTTTTTTTTTGTCGAGTGTTTCTTTCATGTTGTAAACTTTTTTTATTTATTTTATTACTTTTTTCTATTAACAAGAATTCAATAATAATTTTAGTTAGGTTTTTTTTTTTTCAGTACCGTTTCTAATATATATTAAAAATTAATTTAATTAAATTTAAATCTCGTTTCAATTATTGTTTATCCCGTAAGAAAAATGTAAAATGAGATAAAATGTTTTCTTATTTTTTTTTTTATTTTTATAATCGTGAATTTAAATTAAAATCTCGTTTCAATTATTGTTTGT